TGGATAATGTGTTGATAGTGAGATGACGGATGTTTGGGTGGTATATAGTGTTGTTATTGTTTTTTTAATGAGGGGATGTGAGAGTGATAGTGAATTGAATGTGTGGAAGTGAAATTTTTGTGTGTTTGTGTGTTTGTGCGTGTGATTTTGTGCGAGGGTTACTAGCTACTACTCGCTGGACATCCCAACTCCCGGGTTACTAATGACATAGCTGGTCTCAATTCTCATACAGAATCACGCATATACGCACCTGTTAACATATCAGCGGTAGATGTATAACAGCTATCTCTCGTTTTAATGATATTAAGAAGCCCGGTACATTAGATTGGGTTGTGTGTATACACATCTAGAGTTTTCGGTAACACTTGCGTAGATTTTCCCTTAATGCGTCTATGATTATGGATGTTTGTTCTTTAGGGGGGTTAGAATTTTAACGGGTTATTTGGAGTAGAATGGGTAGGAGTGTTTGACGATTCAAGGTCGGGAAGTAGAGATGATTGGATAAGGAATATGAGTTTTGGATTATGAGGGTTTGTGAAGTCTTAGAGGTGATGATAAAATTTAAATGTGATAGACGCACGTAGATTGAATCCTTGACTGAATTTCCTAACGAGCAACATTTTGTCTTCCCCTCGACCTTTACTTGGAGCTCTAACCTACTCTTGAATCAATACATGAAATGTATTTCTGTGAGTTCTGGTGAAGAATCAACGATGCTTGCGTGGATGATTCGTCCAAAAGCTTCCCTCATATGAGTTCATGCTTTCCTTGGCTTTCTGTTTCCAATACCTTTCGGTATCTGTCAACTCATTGTTCGCCTCTTCATCCTCTTCCTTGTTGTGATTTTCCAGGTCGGCTTTGCGAAGACGAGGTGGCATACCTCCTTGTGCCTCTTCGAATCCATGTCGTAAGGTATTTCGAGCTTGGTTGATCTTCGCAAAATCAACTAATTCTTCTGTAAGAGAAGGCCTCGTTTGGCATTGCGAATTATCGGATATTCTTGGACTGGAACTTGACGGGATGGTCGGACCAACCGCCAGTGCTGGGCGATCTGCCTGATCTATGAGCGGATTGAAGGGAGTCGTGCTTGCAGGAACAGGATCATAAGGCAGCCATGGTACGGCATATACCTTTCGCAAGTTTCTGCCCCCGGAAGTCTTCTCTGATGCAGAGCGTCCATCACAAGCCTCATCGCTTTCCCTGTCACTTTCGCTATACGTTACTGTGGAGGTGAACGATTGAGCTGCAATAGTAGACGAAGAGCCATTAGCTCCAAACAGCGTTCGCGGGGCTCTCTTTTCGAACAAAGATCCCAATCCTTGAGACTTTTGTGTAGCTATCCTCGAGAGGTTATTGTCGAGTCTTGTATCTTGACCGCCACGCTGGACTCCCGAGTTTGAGGTCGTTGATGATTGAACATTTGTAACCGGTTTAGCTTGGATATTCTGAGCGATAGAACTAGGCACGGAATTCTTCTGTGCTCGCAGTAGAGGATTGAGAATGTGTTGCTTTGTATGATCGAGCACTCTCTTGTCCGATATTTGTGTGTTGGCAGGTAATACATGTCTCCTGTTGATCGCGTACCGTGAGGGTGAGAATGGCAGTTTGACTTCTCGAATAGGTTGACTAGATACTATCCAGCTTCTGCATCTACTACAGTTCATATGAACGTCCCTGGATAAGGGGGAGTAGGGACTTTCCACGTTAACGAAGAGACATCTGACCCCAAACCGAGTGCAAGATGTGCACTTGGACGAGGAGCTACCCTGTTCGACAACGCAGACATCTTCATGGTCGAGGCATGTCTGACAAGAATTGCTATAAAGAAATTCTGGTATAGGGAACTCTGGATATCCATTTCCTCTCCTTTCAAGCGCTTCCTTGGACTTAATATATCCCTCCAACTCAGGATTGCTCACGAGCAAACTATCTATGACCGATATCAACGCAGCTGTGGGAACAGTTATGCTAGTCTTAACAGTCTCCGCCGAAAGCTTTGAAGAAGAGGAAGTTCTACCAGGATTGATAGAGTTGTTGGAACTGTTGGAAGATCGTTGATATTGTTCATTGCTGATATTGCGCGTGCTATCCTCTTCAAAATCATCCAAATACTGTTGCTCTTCTTGCTGGGTTCCAAATTGTGAGGAATTAGAGGCGAAAGAAGCTTGCAGTGGTGGTGGAGGGATAGCATTGTTGAGTTGTCGCTTTTTCTTCAAGACCTCTGCTGCAATGGACTTGACCGGTGGGGGCTTTGAATACTCGTTTCCATCGCCCGAGCCTGCACTGGTTGCAACGTCGAAGTTCGAGGCCATGACTATCGGGATACTATGAATTGCTGTCAAGATCACCCGTCTGAAGTTGACTACTCAAGTCGTCATGGAGCGTGTGAAGAATCTGGATTATACGGATTAACGACACTTGCGCGAGGCGTGTTAGGATGTCTTTGGAATACACTTCTGTGAGGCTGCGAAATGAAAGTGTGCCTCATAATACGCCCGTTGAACATAGCCACCACTTCTTGACTTCGCCAACGCAGCGTGCATTCCCACACGCGAATCAAAGGACGTCCCCCACCACGAACCGTCTCGTGCCAAACCACTCGTAAGTCAATCACTCATGAAGGCTTGCCTCATAACATTCGCTTCTTAACTTAGTGCAAACATTTCTTTCCAAGAGACGACCACATATATGTTCATCAACGCAATACTGCTGTGAAAGCTCCCAGCGGAGGTTTTGAACCTATTCCATGCCTAACTTGACGCCAGAGGAGATCGAGATCAAAGAATGGAAATACACTGGTTACCAACATTACACCAGATTTATTGCATCGGACAATGATTATCTTGTCTTTCGACGATTCTCCGTTCTGAGCACCAGGGTGTCTCTTGCTCTCCAGGATGAGATAGTTGTCCTCGAGCATGAACTGGCAGAATTGGATAACCGACTTTCTGAAAAGCATGCCCCTGACATTCATAATGGATCTTTCAGAGCCGATAAGGCCGATAAAGTCAGTCCTATTGCGAGTGCCAGAGCAAAGTTATTACACGGAAAGATATTCCACAAACTCAAAGAATACAGTAAGCCCACTGAGATGTGCACTTGATGTGACCATTATAACTGAGTAATGCAAGACGAATTCATGTTCCACTACTCTCATCTTACCAATCGACCTCCTGTACCGACCAAAGACGCCACCAGCTTGAGTAATTGGCATGAAAATCATCTCAATGCGATTCAAGACGAAGAAGCAGCATACATAACTCACACCGAAGACCTTTTTTCCCTTGTCTCAAATCCCAAATCGCCTCTGCGAAACCTCTTCGAGAAGTCCCTCCACTTCCGCATCTTTCGACCTTGGCAAGTGAAGAGGAAAGATCCCGAGAACGCAATCCGTGATGCGGAGCATGAGCTCTACATGTCTGATACTAGAGTTGATGGATTTGTATCAGTGTTCATAGCTATTGTTGGATTGGCAATGCTAATTGCACCACTTTGGATTTTGGAGTTTACTAGTAGTAGCGTTATTAGCTTGGCTTGGATCACTGGGTTCATTGTACTGTTTCTTTGTATAGTCTCATTTGCGACGGAAGCGAAGCCTTTTGAAACTCTGGGAGCAACGGCTGCGTAAGTCAATTCTTTGTGCACCATCGCTTTTGGTAATACAGCTTTACTGACAATATGTAGATATTCTGCTGTACTTATGGTGTTTTTGCAGATTGGAAAGTAGAATACGAAATAAGCATAGATACTCCTCCTATTTGTGTACTTCAAACGCTAGTTCTTCAACTTCACCCTCCTACGAACACAAATCATCCTGCCATGTATTTTGAGATTCGTTGGAGCCGGTGCGTTGTGGATTACTGTAAAAACTTTTACGCTAACCTTCACATAGGAATACAAGATTGATTTCCCCCGCCGAATCTGTGCTGATTTCTCCCTTTATTTTCAAACAATAACTTATGAATAAAATCATATTTCTCCACCTTTTTTACACACATCCTCACCACTACCACCCAACATCAACCCTCACAACCTTCCCCCCCTCCACAACAACCCCATCCACCCTCCCACTAGTACTAACAAACACCTCCCCCCCTTCCCCCACCGCCACACTCGTCGGACCAGGCAACACCCCACCATCCCCTCCCCCAACCACCACCTCCACCTCCCCACCCGCAAGACCAACCTTTAACAGCGCATTCATCGCACTCCCCGCCAGCCACGCCACTCCCCGTCTCACATCCAGCGCAAAATCATCAACCGTCACGTTCCTCGCGAGGATTTCGACGTCCCCAGCCGGGACAAGCGTGGAGAGATCGACGGGCAGACGACCGAAGAGGGACAGGCCTGTGTTGGCGAAGTAGATGTACGTCCTATTCCCCAGCACGAGGGTTCGTAGGCCGTTGATGCCGATGGAGAAGGGCGTTGGGGGTGCCATTTCGGGGGCGCGGGAGAGGATGCTGGATTGGTTGGTGTACGTGTTGAGGAGACGGATGCAGCCGGTTGTGGAGTCGGAGAGGGCTAGGATGGAGGGGCAGAGGAGGGTGAGTCCGTTTAGGAGACCGGCGCTTGGGAAGGTGGTGAGCAGGGTGGTGGTAGCGGGAGTGTTGGGGTTTAAGGTCCAGATTGCGAAGGTGCCGGCGCCGAAACTGGTTGAGGTGGAGTTGCCGAGGATGAGGTAGATGAGGTTTGGGGTGAGGGAGACGAGACCGAGAGCGGAGAGGTAGGGGAAGGTGTGGAGGAGTTTGATGGATGGGTTGGGTGGATTGGGGTCGAGGAGGCGGACTTCGGGAGCGGTTGTTAGGGAAAGGAGAATTTGGTTGTTGGGAAGGATGGCGAGATTTTCTATCCATGTTGGGGATTTGGGGAATTGATAGATCACTGTGGTTGAGGGAACGCTCTTCGATGCTGTGCTTGGTTGGGAGAGTAATAATGAAGTGAGTGTTAGGAGTAGAGATATGGAGATGCGGAAGTGCATGATGAATGACCGGATTAATGACAAGTAGAGAAGAACTTGCGTTTGCGAAAAGAGAAACTAATCAGACATATATCTCTGGGGGATCAGCTTTTCAAGGTTCGGGACTGACAGTTTAATATAAAATCTTATACCTCTTGGGTAACGACTTTGCTGACTTGTTTGATTTGTGGGATGTATACGTAGATGTGCTGAGCCGCTCGCTTTTCCGATCCTGGTATGGTCTGTCGCCGATAGAGTCATATTCAACAACAGCCGATCAGTGGTAGAGGCCAACTTCGTGTATCTGGAGATAGTTGTGGCTGCTCCATCTGATGGATTAACGTTCATGAGTGGATTTGTTTTCCTCTTAGCTTCAGACCCTTAGGAGTGAGAATTGGAACACCACTGGTGCATCTCATATTTCGTTGTGACTCACTTGCGAGTTTCCATTTAGGAAGATATGCATCGTTGAAATATTGATGAACGTTTACATCAGATAGCTTTCGATTATAATGCCACGGCTTCACCCAACTAAATATCGAGTTACCTCATTGCAAACACGCTAAGCTAATATACAAGCAACATACATACGACCAACATCCTCCCCTTTTAGACGCTCACTGAACGCATTCTTCTGCGCTCCATCAAATCAAGCAAACCCAAATCCCTTCGAATTTTCCAACGCCATAGCCAACTTCTCCCTAAGCACATCTTTACTAGAATATTCGGGCAGAAGCAGAATACCGTAGCAAGTATAGCTGCTCGGTAAATGCCCATCATCGACACCGTTTCTCTGTAGCGTGAACTGCAAATTCCTCATTCCACCAACAGGAACCCGATCACTGGCTGTGACAAACTCAAGAAGTTTTCGTTTGTGTTCGAGATCGTATTTGCGGACGATACTCCAAAAGTCGCGGACGGAACGATGTGAGGAATCCCATCCGATGTAACGAGTTGTGCGGCGCATTTCAGATATGTCGATGTCTTGGATACCTTCAACGACTGATTGTAATGTCTCGGGGTCGAAAACGGAGAGGGAACGTCGGTCGATACAGGTGAAGAAGCCCGTTTTAAAAGCTTCGAATTGTGGTGATATCGATATATCTGTCAGCCAGCGGATGTAATCGCTTACGTAGTTGTTGCGATTCTCGTTAGTCACCATAGGAGCATCTTCTGGGTTGGCAGAGGTGTGTAGATCTGAAAATTGAGGCCACAGCACCGTTTCATCCATTTCGCGACTGACAGCTTGACCGAATTGCTCCACACTAAATTCATATGTTCTTGCGAAGATATCCTCGACAAGTCCATTCTTTTCGTCCCACTCGAGAAGTGAAGTAAGGCCGTTTGCTAAGTCGGGCCATCCGTCTGCTACATGATGAAGTTCTGTCACATCTTCGCCGAGAAGCTTGCGATACAGGGCCTTTGGGAATGTGACTGGTAGTGTAAGGCCGTTATAGACAGCTAGGGAGATTATTGTACCTATCAGTTCGAACTTCCACAAAGGCTCCGGCGAGCCTGGCTGGAACCACGTCATTTTTGTTCTCGAATCGATGGTAAAAGTTCCTGCTCAAGTTAATATATGAAGTGACTTATTCTGAATTGAACTTACCATAATCAGGATCGAGTGCTTCAGCAATGGCTAGTCGAAAGAACTCTTGCTGAACTCCTCCTGAATCCATACCCTCTTCTCCACCATTCTCGCCTAAACGAATCTTCAGGGGGCGCATCATTTCACGCTCTTCCCTTCTCCAAATTGCATTAAAAGTATCCGCCAATACACTTTGACGTCCAATTTCAAGCACAAGAAACTTGGAAGTAGCTACGCGAAGTCTTTCAAAAAGTCTATAGCGCGAGTTTTGGTCAGTCATAAGATTGGTTTCTGAAATGGTCGAATGCATGAGACCAGTCGTTGCTTTCGCCGATTCGTACGCCGCGTTCATTCTTGAATAGTTGATTGCACGGAAGTAAGTTACCAATGTAGATGGGTTGAAGAGATAAGGGTGATCAAGTAGATGAACGGTTCTTTTGTTTGCTTCGAACGTGATCCATTCAAGTGGCATTCCAACAGGGTCAAGGCGCTCAGCGAAGTATTCTGTCCTGAAGTGAATGTCGCCGAGCAGCAAGGATTTTCGGTGCTTGTCTAAGAAATGTTAGAGAGCTATACGCTACATTGTGAAGATTTTTCGCGACTTACATATTGCAGCCATCATTGCCAGCGCTCCACCGAATGATCCTTCGGCGGCAACTTCAGCAGAGCCATTCCAGTCCTGCAGCATCACAGTCCTTGCCCAATCGAGAAGAAGTGTAGGTACCCTTTTCTCGTGAAGATCTCGTTCCTCGTCGTGAAAGTGCAAGGCTGGCGTCGTGCCTAGGTCCAGGAATTTTAATGTTGACAAAACACCTTCCAGTACATCAGGTTCTTTCTTTCCGTCAGGCTTCAATCCTTGTTGATTATCGGCAAGTTCTGCAAAACGCCTCCTCGTGGGTATCGATGCAAATAGTCTGCGTGCGAGCCTCATAGCGAGATCATTGGTAAACGCGTCTTCATACGCAAGACACAGTTGCACTGGCTCTAATGATGACGTCTCTCGTCCAAGCATCGCTAAGCCAAAGGATCGAATTCTCGACATGTTGGCAAGCTGCCTCGCGTCCGTTAACAGTGGTGCGGTGGCAACAAGTGCGTGAAGACATATGTTGATCAGTCGAGCAGCTTCCCCGCTTGATAGTGATGGCTTCGCCAAAGCATCCGACTCCTTCCAATCATGCAATGCACTTATGGTATCCGGTGGATTGAAGAGATATCCAGCCGCATTCCATAAACTGTCAAGAACCAGTGATGGAGCTACTCTGGTGAGGCGGAGCATCAAGTACCAGATTGTCTGTGTATCGTACAACCGCTGATCACAGTGGCTGAAAGATTGTATGAGAGACTCGGGCTTCGATAAGACATCAAAAAGTGCTTGTTGAATAAATTCCTTCCACTGTTGTTTGTCTTGAGAAGAATAAACGGATTTTGTCTTGGAGAACGACTTCCTGCCTGCTGCATAAGGACCATTGGAATTCAGCCATCTTGTACCATCCCGTCCAACTTCTGTGGGCACTAAATCGTGTTTTTCGGAGGTTCCATCAATTTGCAATGTATCACAGAGAAAATTTAATAGATCGATAGGAAGTAAGGAGAGGGACTGTGGAAGCGGCATTTCCTTAGCGAGAGGGAGTTCCGGGAGAGTTTCGTGATTGATGGATTTTTTTACTGGGTTTTTCTTGATTTTCGAACCTTGTTCGGGTGCGACAGAGAGCCCCGAGGTGACTGGCGGTTGGTCGAATTCTGGTGAGGCTTTCATTGAGATAGTTTTCGGTATGCTAGGTGTATGCATTGCTGCTGATGTGATCAAAGTCTGATGAGGCGTAGAAAGCGTTCTGATAGCTTGATGAGGACGATACTGCGGAAGAGACATGACATCAGGAGGTGATTCGCCAATCCTGGATGATAAATTTAAGATGCCCTTTGGGTTTGGAGGCTCAGCATGCTCGGACTTTCTCCGACCGTTGATTTTGGGGGTGCATTTTGTCACCGAGTTTGCGACGGCTTTGGTTTCCGCGTGTGCTAATACTTCGCTTGTGCGTTGACTCGAAGACACTGGCTTCGAAGCTGATTCTACGTCCGAAAAGGATTTATCTTGCGGTTTACTTGGGGCAGGTGTCTGCCACTTGGTTGTCTTTGGATTTTCTGCAGCCTCTGCCTCGTCGGATGTTGCAATATTGAATGATGTTGTTTCACTAACCGGTCTTTGCCTTGGATATGGCCCCATGCCCGGGACTTCGGAACCAGTTGCGTCTGGTCTCGAAATCGTCTCTACATTTCTCGGGGCAAGCCACTCCACCATTTTGAAGGCAACCGTACCAAATACATTTTGAACGAATGAGCGGTGGTCTGTCGTCGATGGCTCATCTAACAAAGAAATTGCTGGCGTTTCCTCCTCTTTGGATGTAGTTGATTGCACTCCAGTGCTAACATTGTTATTCGACGGAGAACGGCTACCAGGGGAAGCACCTTGAGTACTATTTTTCGGTCCTACTGGCTTTCCAGAAGCACTACTCTTTCGTTCTACGTTGGGTATTGCCGATCCATTGGTAACCTTATTGATGCTGGCATAGCCTTTTCGCGACGTTTTCATGCTCGGCGGTTGGATGAGCTTATCGGCGCTAGGATTGTGACAGAGTCCCAGTTCTGGATTATCCTGGCTTGCCATATATATTGCAAGAGTTCGAGCACTTGTCGCATTGTATCTTCGAACGGGAGCGCCAGCAGCGACACGTTTCCGACAAGAAAAACAGGTAGTCGTGTGGCAGGTTTTCACTGTGCATCCAAACCTGATTTGGGAGATGTACCTGATAGAAATTAACAATGCACACTGGAAATGATCCACTATCACAACTGACCTGTCTACCAATATCTGGAACTGATGCCGTCTCGCAGCGCGATGAATTGTATATAAGCGTTTAGGGTCATTGATATCAACAATGAAATCGTTCAGCTCGTCCGGCGCATCTTCTGGGAGTCGCGGGAAGGGCGCGGTCGCCCATAACGCAGCGTATATTTCCTCCTCGGTGGCAGGATCCAAGAGTCCATCTCGAAAGCCTTGAATATCTCGAGTCATGGGAGACGCCCGTATGATAGATGGGGATAGGAGCCACGAAGGATGGTATCGTAGATCGTGCGCCCTTGGTGGATAAGTTATTTACTGGCCTTCGATACGATCCAGGTTCGAGAAAAGAGCGTTGATGAAGA